TGTTTTTATGTAGAGCTTTGACAATGTAGATTGTGTCAAAGTGGCTTAACATCAATAAAGATAGCAAAAGCAAAACATTATTTGAAATTGTGGAATAATCCAACGTATCTAGTTCTAGTTGAAAAACTGTTTACAACCACCCCTAACACCCCTAAAACATCTAGCTTGCACAGGTAACCATGTAGAACAGTAACACCTTAGCAACAATATCCTAGAAAACAGCTAACAAATTAGCATTAGCAATAATCACAACAACCAACAAAAATACCTTAGCCTCTTAGCAACACCTCAGTGATCAACTAAACTACAAACCACTCAGCAACAACCTATCCCCAACAACTTACCTACCCTAACCTGACTACAACAACCACACAACCCCCATTAACAACTTTATGGCAACCCTCAGCAACACCCAAGTAATTGACTGCATCTCCAGAGCACTCAGCAACACCTTAGAAACACTTAAAATGCACTGGATAAAGCAATGAACAACCTAAAAGTTGCTTAGAATTAGCAATAATCATAGCAAGCAACAAGAATACCTTAGAAACCTAACACCTTAGTGACCAACTAAACTACAGATTACCAAGCAACAACCTATCCCCACCTTGATTACAACAACCACACACCACCGCCATATTACCCAGCAACATCCTACAAATCATCCATAACACCTTCACTGCAACTACTCCATAAAGCATCAAGCTATGCCCAATTGATCATGTAGAACAACATGTAACACCTTAGCAATAATATCCTAGAAAACAAAATAGCAAATTAGCATTAGCAATAATCACAGCAACCAACAAAAATACTTCATATACACGCCTGCCAGCTAAGAACAGGAAACTGAGGCTACAATTCACACAGACTCACCAAAACTGGACAATAGAAGATTGGAGAAACGTTGCCTGCTCTGATGAGTCTCCATTTCTGCTGACACATTCAGATGCTCGGCTCACAATTTGGCCTCAACAACATGAAAGCATGGATCCATCCTGCCTTGTATCAGCGGTTCAGGCTGCTGCTGGTGGTGGTGTAATGGTGTGGGGGAGATTTTCTTGGCACACTTTTGGGTCCATTAGTACCAACTGAGCATCGACTCAACGCCACAGCCTACCTGAGTATTGCTGCTGACCATGTCCATCCCTTTATGAGCACAGTGTCTCCATCTTCTGATGGCTACTTCCAGCAGGATAACACACCATGTCATAAAGCTCAATCATCTCAGACTGGTGTCTTGAACATGACAATGTACTAAAATGGCCTCCACAGTCACCAGAGCTCAATCCAATAGAGCAGCTTTGGGATGTGGTGGAACGGGAGATTGGCATCATGGATGTGCAGCTGACAAATCTGCAGCAACTGTGTGATGCTATCATGACAATATGGAGCAAAATCTCTGAGGAATATTTCCAGAACCTTGTTGAATCCATGCCATGAAGGATTAACGCAGTTCTGAAGGCAAAAGATGGTCCAACCCGGTACTACTAAGGTGTACCTAATAAAGTGGCCGGTGAGTGTATATATATATATATATATATATATATATATATATATATAGTCTAGAAAAAGGTAAACTACATCTGAAAGAATATAATTTTAAATTAGAAATGTGCTTCTGTTATCTGTTAGGTAAAAATAAACAACAATAATAATAATAATAATAATAACAGCAATAATAGTATTAATAATAATACCACCACCAACAACAACAACAACAACAATAATAATAATAATAATAATAATAATAATAATAATAATAATAATAATAATAACAATAATAATAATAACAACAACAATAATAGTATTAATAATAATAACACCACCACCAACAACAACAACAACAACAATAATAATAATAATAATAATAATAATAATAATAACAATAATAATAATAACAACAACAATAATAGTATTAATAATAATAACACCACCACCAACAACAACAACAACAAAAACAACAAAAACAGGAACAACAACAACAACAACAATAATAATAATAATAATAATAACAACAACAACAATAATAGTATTAATAATAATAACACCACCAACACCACCACCAACAACAACAACAACAACAACAATAATAATAATAATAATAATAATAATAACAATAATAATAATAACAACAACAATAATAGTATTAATAATAACAACACCACCACCACTACCAACAACAACAACAACAACAACAACAACAACAACAACAACAACAACAATAATAATAATAATAATAATAATAATAATAATAATAATAATAATAATAATAATAAAATTAAAAATAACAACAACAATAAGAATAAAAATAACAATAATCATAATAATAACAAAAATAATAATAAGTTTTAATAATAATAATAATAATAATAATAATAAATATACAAATAAATAAATAAATAAATAAATAACAAAAATAATTAAATAAATAATAAAATTTTTAATTTAAACTGAGAGTTTTTTATTATTATTATTTACATTTATATACCATGATGCAATACTGTTTAAATTGGTGAATTAACAAAACAAAAAAAAGTGGTGCCCTTTATTATTGCCAGAACATGATCGTTTTCTTTTTAAGAAGTGAAGGATGCAAAGAGGCAAACAATGTAAAGTGGCATGTCTGATGACAGATACTGCATACGGTCCTATTAAAAAAGTGTAAAGGGAGAGGTGTTTTCTCCTGCAGGTACAAACACGGTATACGCATAATAACATCGTCACACTCGCAGCAGTCATCCAGAAAACGTCACCATTAATTCTGGTGGCTGCTAAAAGACTTTAATAGAAAAAAACAAGGTATATAAAGCATACGATTCAATGTCACTCAGGCCAAACATATAGCTAGATCCAGTGCCTAAAATATTAGACTGTGATGAGATGACTATAAGGCAGCATGGTGGCTCAGTGGTTAGCACAGCAAAAAGGTTGCTGGTTCGAGTCTCGGCTGGGTCAGTTGTCATTTCTGTGTGGAGTTTGCATGTTCTCCCCGTGTCCGCATGGGTTTCCTCTGGGTGCTCCGGTTTCCCCCACAGTCCTCGGCTTAGAATTTGGCCTCAACAACATGAAAGCATGGATCATCCTGCCTTGTATCAGCGGTTCAGGCTGGTGGTGGTGGTGTAATGGTGTGGGGGAGATTTTCTTGGCACACTTTGGGTCCATCAGTACCAATTGAGCATCATGTCAACACCACAGCCTACCTGAGTATTGCTGCTGACCATGTCCATCCCTTTATGAGCACAGTGTCTCCATCTTCTGATGGCTACTTCCAGCAGGATAACACACCATGTCATAAAGCTCAATCATCTCAGACTGGTGTCTTGAACATGACAATGAGTTCACTGTACCTAAAATGGCCTCCACAGTCACCAGAGCTCAATCCAATAGAGCAGCTTTGGGATGTGGTGGAACGGGAGAT